TTTAGGTTAGGGGTACAGAATGCCCACAACATCTGCAAAAATCCTTCCACACAGCAGACATCTTCAAGACGTCTTTAGGTCCAGATGGACAACTGTCTTCTAGGTTCTTTGTCCTCCAGTGTTCAGATTCTTGAGGCACGTCTGGCAGAAGTCATCTTTAGGACACGTTAGGTCTCTGCCACAGGCCAGAGTAGATCTGCAAACCCAGATGGACAGCTGCCTTCCAGTTGGTTTAGGCCTTTGCCTTAGGGCAGTTGGGGTCTTGTGTTCCTAGTTGCCTTCTTCTTCTGGCTTCCTTCCACATGCAATAGTCTAGGAACCAAAGAATAGACCTCTGTACTGAAGTTGGTTGTCCTGCTGTACAATTTCTGGTACCCTCTAAAACGGATCAAGCTTTAAATCTGACCTCTGCACAGCTGTGGAAGGCGAGAATTGAGCTGTAGATAAATGAAACCCAAAATGTATGTAAATTTTGGCCAAAGAATTTAAACTCCTGAACTTCAGAACTCATGCCAATAAAGAAATGTAAGAATACCAAGGATGGTCCTCAGTGTACATTCATTGGTCTTATCACTGTTGCTCCCGTACAGGAGAATGATGGGTATTCTACACTTGTCCCATACGTATGACATGGACACCAACCTAACATCTACTTCCTGGTAATAGGAACGTATGAACCTTCTCTAGGTTGCTATCCTGGAGCAGTGTGATGAATTAGGGTGTCATAGAACACTTCATACATGGCTTTGTGACCCATCAGGGTTGAAGGCCAATACCTGGTTGATGAGAATGTCTCCCAGCTTGTTGATGACAAAATTCTTGTTGCTGTCAGAAGCCAGAGAATCTTTGCGCCTCTCCAGCAGTTGGATGAGGAAACGAATGTGAATGTCGCTGATCTCGTCCACGCACGGGAACATCTTCTGCACCAGGGCCGGGTCCATCTGCAGGTCCTCCAGCATCCCCTGCCGGAAAATGTTGGTCATGATCTTCAGTGTGCGGACATGATGGACCTCGGTTTGGATGAGCTCTATGAAGATGAAACAAGTTTTAACAAAGTTTTCACCCAAGATTCAACTAGAAATAAAAAAAAAAAAAAGAATGAATCTTGGGTGAAAAACACTGATCAACAGACCCTCCTTAATGAAACTTCTAATGGTGGTCATCTTTGACCGACTGAGAACATGCGGTAGGCCAGTCTACCAAATTCCCTGTACTCACCATAGATGACGTCCTGACGTTTCATGACGTCCTTCTTGTGCTGCTGAAGGTAATTATTATCCACGGCTAAGCTCCACGAATCTGCCTCGAACTCCTTCTCGTCCGTGGCAAAATCACTCATCAGCTGGCTGTAGATGACATCAGCACCTGCTCCAGATAAACAGCAAAGAGGGGCTTGGTGACAGCCGGCAACAAAGACTGAACATTTATCCAGACATTTTTAAAATGCAATTCAACTGTTGGGTGGTAGAGACATGGGGGGGAAAAAAAACAGGGTTTAATGTCAGAGGTGTTGAAAATGTCCTTTGGACAGCTTTCGTAATTTGCAAATTTTCTGTTCAACCAGATCTGGTTGAACCAGTCCCATCTTCCAGCCAAAGAAAGTACAGCATTGCAGTATGGTCATAAGTCGAGGTCAGGGAGTGCCTCCTGGCAAAGTTTAGAGTTTGCAGCTAGGCCAAAGCCAGACTGAGCTCTGTTTAAGATATATGTGTTCGCTGGATTTCTCCTGAGCCCAAGGACATTGAGTTCTTCGTCCTACGGCAGTGTAGTGCTGACTATATTCATTGTATTGGGTCATGAATAGTTACACCCCTTGCACTCCGGGCCTCCTAGCTGCTGTGCGTCCTTTTGTGCGCCTAGGAGGGACAGCTGAACCATCCAACCCCAATGCCTGCAGCCTGTGGTTGGGCACTGTACCAATTAGTACTCACATTAAGTGCCCCATGTGTTCAAGAGCGACCACCCTTAGCCAGTCACTGAGGGGTTATGCCAATGATATGCACCAGAGAAGGGGAAAAATATTTGTAGACCCTCTTCTAGAAGGATTTTTGCCTCTCTGGCTCTGCCTGATGAAGATGTGAGCACAGATGTCTATTCTTTGTTTCCTACACTGTTGCCTGGGGAAGGAAGCCAGAAGAAGAAGGCAACTAGGAATACTATGTGGGCCTAGAGCATCCCAACTGGCCTAAGGCAAAGGCCCACACCAACTGGAAGGCAGCTGCCCATCTGGGTTTGCAGAATCTACACTGGCCTGTGGCAGAGACCTAACGTGTCCTAAAGATGACGTGCCTCAAGAATCTGAACTTGAGGCCAAAGAACCTAGAAGACAGTTGTCCATCTGGAACCAAAGAACCTAGAAGACAGTTGTTCATCTGGACCTAAAGAAGTCTTAAAGATGTCTGGTGGGTGGAGGGATTTTTGCCAATGTTGAGGGCATTCTGTACCCCTAACCTAAGGCAACCGAACCATCTTTTATGTTCTTTGATGGCTCAGTTGTCCACAACGAACCATCAAGGAAGATAAAAGATGGCTTGGTTGTCTTAGGTGCAGAATGCCCACAACATCGGCAAAAATCCTTCCACACAGCAGACATCTTCAAGACTTCTTTAGGGCCAGATGGACAACTGTCTTCTAGGTTCCTTGGCCTCAAGTTCAGATTCTTGAGGCACGTCTGGCACAAGTCATCTTTTGGCCACGTTAGGTCTCTGACACAGGCCAGTGTAGATTCTGCAAACCCAGATGGACAGCTGCCTTCCAGTTGGTTTGGGCCTTTGCCTTAGGCCAGTTGGGATACTCTAGGCCCAGATAGGGTCTTGTGCTCCTAGTTGCCGCCTTCTTCTGGCTTCCTTTCCCTAGGCAACAGTCTAGGAAGCAAAGAATAGACCTCTTTGCTGACTGTGTACCGGTGGGTTGGTGAGTGTCTGGCTGCAGCTCCAAGGCAGATCACGGTTAGGATGGATAATGTGGCCCACATAAATCCAGCATCCCATTGCTACACCTGGATTCTAAAACCATTTGTTGATGGAATGAATACAGATCTGCTCTAATGTGCGTCTTTTATATTTGCCCGGAGTTCACCTTTAATATAGTAAGCTTTCCAGTAATTACGACCCCCTACCTTCATCGATGAGGGACTCCACAGACAGCGTCCGGTTCCTCATGTTCAAGGAGTCGGTGGACTGCGACAAGATTCTTCTTATGCCCAGCGGACTTTCATCGTTCAGATTCCTGCGCACAGAACGCACGTTACAGACCCGGCATACGCGCTGCATGCGAATAATATTCAATAACGTCTTATAGGATTCATCAGAGTGTCTGACCAAAGCAATGACCGTGTCCCCCTGAGGGTGGGCAGAGTCAGTCCCATACCGGGACAGGGTGGCTGCAGAATTCTTGAATCCTATTCATTGCTATGTCGCAGCACAGACAGTTCTTATTACATTTTTGATGTTGAAAGGCGCATGCACACACACACTTTGAATATGTAGTATTTTCAAATATATGTCATTATATATGTATTTTGTAGTATATAAAAAATGCATTTCAACATACAGTATATATATATATATATATATATATATATATATACACATATATATATATATATATATATATATATATACACATATACACTGCATGTTGAAATCCTTTTTTATATATATTACAAAATATATAAAAAATAATTTTCAAAATATATTCAGATTTTTTTTTTACATATAAAAACATATATTACAATATATAACATATATTTGTAAATGCATTCCAAAAATGTAGATTTGCATTTTTAAAGACATGCAGTATATTTGAAATGTATTTTTAAAAATATTTTCATATAATCTTGTAATATATAAAAAATGTATTTCAACATACAGTGTGTATGTGTGTGTGTGTGTGTGTATATATATACACACTGTATGTTGAGATGCATTTTTTATATATTACAAGTTATATTAAAAATATTTTGAAAAGTATATATTTTTTAAATATATCCATCAGATTTTTCTTACATATAGAAACATATATTACATATACAACATATATTTGTAAATGCATTCCATATAAAAAATGCATTGCAACATACAGTGTGTGTGTATATATATATATATATATATATATATATATATACACACACACACACACTGTATGTTGAAATGCATTTTTATTATATATTACAAAATATATGAAAAATATTTTTTAAAATACATTTTTTTAAATATGTTCATCAGATTTTTTTTTTTAACATATAAAAACATATATAACATATATTTGTAAATGCATTCCAAAAATGTAGATTTGCATTTTTAAAAACGTGCCGTATATTTGAAGTGTATTTTTAAAAATTTTTCATATATTTTTGTAATATAAAAAAAATGCATTTCAACGTACAGTATGTGTGTGTGTGTATATATATATATATATATATATATATATATATATACACACACACTGTATGTTGAAATGCATTTTTTATATATTACAAAATATATGAAAAATTTTTAAAAAGATATTTTTTTAAATATATTCATCAGATTTTTTTTAACATATAAAAACATATATAACATATATTGGTAAATGCGTTCCAAAAATGTAGATTTGTATTTTTAAAGATATGCAGTATATTTGAAAAAGTATTTTTTAATATTTTTCATATATTTTGTAATAAAAACGCATTTCAACGTCTGTCTGATCTCTCTCTCTCTCTATATGTATATATAAATTTATTGAAATATATTGAACACGGCCAGAATTGAAGTATTTCAAATATATGTCAATATATTTGGGAAGAATATTTTTAAAATATATTTCAAATGTATTTTTTCTCCCATATGGGAAACTTTGATGTGTAACAAAAAAAAAAAAAAAAAGCTAGCAGTCAGACCTGATAGGGGGATCTTGATGTCTGAGGAGCCATTTTATTGGTTAGAAAACAATTGGCCATCTTTGGATGACAGTACGGAGTGGTGGGAAGGGCGTGGATAAAAAAAAAGGAGGACTCACCCGGCTATGTTGGTGGTGGAGACGCTTTTAGAGAGGGACAAAGATGGCCGCCCACGTCTGGATCCCAGCAGGGAATGGCGGAGGCTGTCAGACGGGTAGATGGCGGAGTTGGGTCTCTCCCTTAATGTAGTGGCTGCACAAAACAAGATAAAACAAACAAAAAAAATCGGTGAAAAAAAAAGATCCAACCAATATCTGCACAATCTGTCTTACATAGGAAAGTATGAGATAATTCACGTTTATTCATTTATTGGCTTTCAGTCAACGTGGTTGGGGTGTCTCCTTGCATGCACTTCCAGTTACAACCTCTGGGTGGCATTCTAGCATCAGAGGTGCAAAACAATTTGCTGGTTCAGCCTATCTGAAGTGTACCAGAGTCCGGGGGTGGTCAGTCTCCTGGCTGCTCTCATCTCACAGATCCAGAACCAACATGGAGCCATGCGTGCTCTCAGGGCCAGCGGTAGGTGATGGCAGCCCGAGGTATTCCCATGGAAGAGGTCTCCTATAATCAATGCAGCAGGCTAACCAGGAGTCTCCCGCATGGGGGGGAGGGGGGCAGAACTATTCCCACCTTGGACGGACCCAATGTTAAAAATGGGCGGAGCTTGCTGGGAGGGCAGTCATTCATTATTTGTGCACAAAGCGGCATAAAATCATTTCCCAGAATAAGGTCTCCATATCTATGCCGACCGCAGATCTCGGCACACACGGGGGACGGTACTTACTTTTATTCCGCAAAGATACGTTCTGGAGAGCGCTATTGTTCTTTATGAACGCCGCCTTCTGCTGCTGTACAGGAGAGGAGAAGGAGGACAACCCAGGGTCAACTGCTGCTCATTGATTGTGTGTACGATTATATATACAGAGACACCACCCTCCTCCACTCTCTTCTCCCCTCTTCCAGTCACTCCCCTACCCTCGTCCACTCTCTTCTCCCCTCTTCCAGTCACTCTCCCTCTACCCTCGTCCACTCTCTTCTCCCCTCTTCCAGTCACTCTCCCTCTACCCTCGTCCCACTCTCTTCTCCCCTCTTCCAGTCACTCTCCCTCTACCCTCGTCCACTCTCTTCTCCCCTCTTCCAGTCACTCCTTCTCCCCTCTTCCACTCACTCTCCCTCTCCCACTTCCACTCTCTCTCCCTCCCCTTTCTCACCTCTTCCAGTCATTCTCATTCTCTCTCCCCCTTCCTCTTCCAGTCATTCTCTTCGTCTTTCCCTCTTCCACTCTCTCTCCCTTCTTCCACTCTCTCTCCCTTTATCCCCTCTTCCAGTCACTCATTCTCTCTCTTTCTCCCCTCTTCCAGTCTCTCTCCCTTTATCCCCTCTTCCAGTCACTCATTCTCTCTCTCTCTCCCACTCATTCTCTCCCTTTCTCCCCTCTTCCACTCTCTCTCTCCCTTTCTCCCCTCTTCCTCCCTTTATCCCCTCTTCCAGTCATTCTCATTCTCTCTCTCTCCCACTCATTCTCTCCCTTTCTCCCCTCTTCCAGTCATTCTCATTCTCTCTCTCTCTCCCACTCATTCTCTCCCTTTCTCCCCTCTTCCAGTCTCTCTCCCTTTCTCCCCTCTTCCAGTCATTCTCATTCTCTTCCTTTCTCCCTTCTTCCACACTCCCTCCCCTCTTCCACACTCTCTCCCTCTCCCCTCTTCCACTCTCTTTCCCTTTCTTTCCCCTCTTCCAGTCTCTCTCCCTTTCTCCCCTCTTCCCATTCTCTCTCTCCCTTTCTCCCCTCTTCCACTCTCTCTCCCGTTATCCCTCTCTGGTCATTCTCATTCTCTCCCTCTTCCACTCTCTCCTTTCATTCTCCACCCCCTCCACTCTCTCCCTCTTCCACCCCCTCCATCTCCCCTCCTCCACGCTCTCTTCCATTCATTCCCTTTTTCTCTCCCACTTACACTCTCACAATCTCTCCCCCTCTTCCACTCTCTCCCCTCCTCACTCCCCCCCCCAGCACTATAATGGGCACCGTACGGACTTACCTTCTGTTTGACCTTGGTACAGCTGGGCAGGGTGTCCTTGCAGCGGTTGTGGATGGTGACACTGCATGCTGGGGAGAGAAGGAGACAATTAATTCTACAAAGTTTTATTCCCCCCCCCCCCCCACTTCTCCTATAGAACATTCCATCGCTGTGACCTGGGGGGGGGGGGGGGGGGGGGGGGGGGGGGGCACAGAACTTGATTTCCAAAACACAGAACCGAGCCATTTTATTTGCTGGAATCTGTACGTTATGAAGGTTCTAGACCCTCCCCTAAATGGGCCGTGACCGCGCTTTCCAATGCCTGAAATTCTTTAGACTCCGCCCCTCCTTCTACCCAACCTATGTGAACATCACCGCCTTGGTGGCCCTGCCCCTGGCTCCTGTGAGCTCACCCTCCCCCTCGCCCCTCTCCAAAAGCAGGCACTGCAAGCCTGATCCGGATCTCGGCTGGTGTGTGGCAACTCTGCAGATTCAAGACATTCGCAGCAACTGAACCGAAAAATGGATTACCGACCTTGGAAGTGAGCGGAGGCCAGGGGCGAACTAACCATTTGGAAACTCAGGCACTGCCCGAGGGCCCGGGGTCAGTAGGGGGCCCCATGAGATGCCCCTGGTACCTTTTTCATAGGCTTTGAGTTTGGGCAAGGACACAGGGGCCCCATGATCCCCTATTGCCCGGGGGCCCCATGAGTTGTCAGTCCGCCCCTGGCGGAGGTTGTCCTTCAATCCTACAAACATCTCAGCCATCGGCCTTCTGCCTCAGATATTGGCCTTCTCTAACCAGAATGACATGAAATGTCCCCAAAATCTGAGGGAGACCAATTCGGGAAAATGGCTTCCTACATACAAGCCGGCGGCACGGAGGCAGACCTCACCTACGAGGGGAAGATCTCCATGTCTAGGACCCTTCAACTCTCAAGTGGCGGCTTCCCTCTATACATATGTATTACTTCCTCTATAACACCCTCCTGCTTGTGCGCCGCCACCACACCCCTCTATCACCTCGCTGCGCAGCATCATGTGTGGTGGCCATGTTGTGGTTTCCCAGAATCCTCTCTGCCACCCTTCAGTCACCCGGTACACGAGTGCCGCCTCACCCGGGCCGCATTCATCCATACCCCTACTGGCCATGATAGCCCATAAGATTGGGTCATTGTGTGTGGATGGTGAGGTCAGGAATGGTCACCCGTCCATGGAATGTCCCAGGAGAAGATGTGCTGGGTGCCAGGGGAGGGGCAGGGAATGAGGACCTGTCACCAGTCTACAGGCATCGGGGACCCGGAGAGGAGAAGGGAATGAGGACTTGTCACCAGTCTACAGGCTTCGAGGACTGGGAGAGGAGAAGGGAATGGGGACCTGTCACTGGACAAGAGGCATCAGGGACCGAGAGAGGAGAAGGGAATGAGGACCTGTCACCAGTCTACAGGCATTGGTGACTCCGAGAGGAGAAGGGAATGGGGACCTGTCACTGGACAAGAGGCATCAGTTATGGGTAGAGGAGAAGGGAATAAGGACCTGTCACCAGACTACAGGCATCAGGGACTGAGACAGGAGAAGGGAATGAGGACCTGCCACCAGACAAGAGGCATCAGGGACTGAGGACCTGTCCCCGGACAAGAGGCATCAGGGACTGAGAAAGGAGAAGGGATTGAGGACCTGCCACCAGACAAGAGGCATAAGGGACTGCAAAAGGAGAAGGGAATGAGGACCTGCCACTGGACAAGAGGCATCAGGGACAGAGAGAAGGGAATGGGGACCTGCCACTGGACAAGAGGCATCAGGGACAGAGAGAAGGGAATGAGGACCTGCCACTGGACAAGAGGCATCAGGCACTGGGAGAGGCAAAGGGAATGAGGACCTGTCCCTGGACAGGAGGCATCAGACACTGGGAGAGAAGAAAATGATGACCTGCCATTGGACAGGAGGCATCAGGCACTTGGAGAGGAGAAGGGAATGAGGACCTGCCACTGGGCAGGATGCATCAGGTACTGAGAGAGGAAAAGAGAATGAGGACCTTCGACCAGACAAGATGCTTCAATTACTAGGATGGAAAAAGGGAAAGAGGACCTGTAACTGGACAGGAGGCATCAATTACCGAAAGAGAGAAAGGAAGGAGGGCATGTTACCAGACAAGAGGCATTGGGCAACGAGAGAGGGAAAAGGAATGAGGACCTGTCACTGAACAAGTAGAGGCACTGGAAAGCAGGAGAAGGACAGGGAATGGTGACCTGTCCAAACCAAACAAGAAAACAGGCTCAGGGTAACAGGAGAGGAGCGGGAAATGATGACTTGTTGCCGAACAAGAAAAGAGGCACTGGGTACCAAAAAAGGGGCAAGGGGGATGAGGAACCTGTCACCTGACAAGAGGCATTGGGCACTAGTAGAGGGAAAAGTGAATAAGGACCTGTCAGCAGACAAGAAAAGATATACTAGGGGTAGGGAGAAGGAGGACCTGTCACTGGACAAGGGAAGAGTCACTGGGTAAGGTGAGAGGAGAAGGGAATGGGGACCTGTCACTGGACAAGAGAAGAGGCATTGGGCACCAAGGTACGGGCAGTGAATGGTGACCTGTCACCAGGCAAGAGAAGAGGCATCAGGTACTGGGAAATGGGCAGGGGATGAGGACCTGTCTCTTGACAAGAGGCATCAGGCACTGAGAAAGGGAAAAGGAATGAGGACCTGTCACCAGATATGAGAAGAGGCATCAGGTACTGGGAGACAGAAAAGGAATGAGGACCTGTCACCAGACAAGAGAAGAGGCATCAGGTACTAGGAGATGGAAAAGGAATGAGGACCTGCCACCAGACAAGAAAAGAGGCATCAGGTACTGTGAGAGGAAAAAGGAATGAGGACCTGTCACCAGACAAGAGAAGAGGAATCAGGTACTAGGAGACAGGCAGGGGATGAGGACCTGTCTCTAAACAAGAGGCATCAGGCACTGAGAGAGGGAAAAGGAATGAGGACCTGCCACCAGACATGAGAAGAGGCATCTGGTACTGGGAGAGGGAAAAGGAATAAGGACCTGTCACCAGACAAGAGAAGAGGCATCAGGTACTAGCAGACAGGCAGGTGATGAGGACCTGTCTCTAGACCAGAGGCATCAGGCACTGAGAGAGGGAAAAGGAATGAGGACCTGCCACCAGACATGAGAAGAGGCATCAGGTACTGGGAGACGGGCAGAGGATGAGGACCTGTCACTAAACAAGAGGCATCAGACACTGAGAGAGGGAAAAGGAATGAGGACCTGCCACCAGACATGAGAAGAGGCATCAGGTACTGGGAGAGAGAAAAGGAATGAGGACCTGTCACCAGACAAGAGAAATCAGGTACTAGGAGACAGGCAGGTGATGAGGACCTGTCTCTAGACAAGAGAAAGGGCATCAGACACTGAGAGAGGGAAAAGGAATGAGGACCAGTCACCAGACAAGAGAAGAGGTATCAGGTACTAGCAGACAGGCAGGTGATGAGGACCTGTCTCTAGACAAGAGGCATCATACACAGAGAGGGAAAAGTAATGAGGACCTGCCACTAGACATGAGAAGAGGCATCAGGTACTGGGAGAGGGAAAAGGAATGAAAACCTGTCACCAGACAAGAGAAGAGATATCAGGTACTAGGAGACAGGCAGGTGATGAGGACCTGTCTCTAGACAGGAGAAGAGGCATCAGACACAGAGAGGGAAAAGGAATGAGGACCTGCCACCAGACAAGAGAAGAGGCATCAGGTACTAGGAGACAAGCAGGGGGTGAGGACCTATCTCTAGACCAGAGGCATCATACACTGAGACAGGGAAAAGGAATGAGGACCTGCCACCAGACATGAGAAGAGGCATCAGGTACTAGGAGACAAGCAGGGGGTGAGGACCTGTCTCTAGACCAGAGGCATCATACACTGAGAGAGGGAAAAGGAATGAGGACCTGCCACCAGACAAAGAGAAGAGGCATCAGGTACTGGGAGACAGGAAGGGGATGAGGACCTATCTCTAGACCAGAGGCATCAGGCACTGAGACAGGGACCTGTCACCAGACAAGAGAAGAGGAGCCTGTCACCTAATCATGGATGCCCTGAAGGTGCCCTCGTGTGTTTGCTCCACACAGAACTGACCGATGTCTGGGAATCCACACCGAGATGTAAACATCGTCCACAAACGGTTTACATTTCCTGCAATTGGACAGTTAAAGTGTTCACTAGATCTTAGTATAATAGGGACGCAGCTACAGCCTGCTGAGCTCTGATTGGTTCTCAGTCTCTTCGGCAAGTGCTGGGACCAATCAAGAGAGGCGAATCAGCCAGCCCTACACCATACAATCAGATTGTACAACCTCTGCGAAGGACAAACCTAAACAACGGATGCAATTAGTAGAAGGCCCTAGTTGGTGGTAGATCTAAAGACGGTACAATCTGATTGCGGCCGTTCCATCTGGAACCAGAGAGACAAAAACGCCATAAAACGCAGCAGCGAGGAAGGCGGCGGGCGGCAGCTCGGGGGTTAATTTCTGGCAGGGAAGTGGCTTCCTCCCCGTGTATATATAGAGAACGGAAACCACTCCCTGTGCAGCGCGGCACAGCTCCGGCCTGAACTCCGCAAAGAGGACCTGTCACTCACCAGTACACAGAATGCAGAGATTGGATTGGGGGGGGGGGGGGGGAGGGAGGGAGGGACGGGTCCCCCCCTGGTGGCCCAGCAGCAGGACATCCCTGGAAATGACCCGCACCAAGAGGGAGTTGTATTCTGCGCGGCTGTCATGCCCATCCTCCGGCTTCATTAGCGCCCTGACCCCAAAAACAACAGGAGCCAGGAAAGTCGACACTCAAAGGACTGACATGACGGCCGGGGGACTGGCATTTCCAAAAGGAAGCTCAGCCGGAATATTCCATGGGCCATATTGGGGACGCCATCGTCGCGGGGACACCTCCGAAGCGTTGTCACCACCAGGCCAAGCGGCCGTTACTGTGACACTTAACCCATCAATGGGGCCCTTTGAATTTTTTTTTTTTTGCCATTGAAGGTTTAACCCCTTTATGGCCAACGGGCGCTTGTGGTTGGAGGACCTCCGCCAGAATCTGGG